TACGTTAAAGGTCTTCAATGGTCCAAGCAAACACGGAGATCCTGCACCCTTCATGGTATCAGTAGTTTTTGTTGGGTTTTCTCAAGCGGAGTGTACCATGTGTTGAATTTAGAGCATCTCAGTTGAAAGTGACCAACCTGAAACAATCTGAGCCATTCAGAATTTCCAACTTCCCAGTCGGAATGCTTTCAACTCGGAAACTCGGAGCAGCATCACCAACCTGTGTCAACAGTCCAAGGTGGCGTTAGTACACATTACACATAAGTAAGATTGTAAAACTTAGTCTGTACTACTAGTACTACTACTACTATATATTGGCGACTCACTAAATATGCCATACACAGAGCATTGACCAGGCTCTACCTATGAATGTGCTGTAGGGCTATTTTTAAGTGCAAAAAAAAAAAAAAAAATCAAACATTGCTCGTTACTGCTTTTGATGCATGATTAGGTCTACCTTGAAGGAGCAAAACAAATCCCATTTATTCTTGCTTATGTTACTTTATCACTGGAAAGGGCTCAACTTAGGAGTGATGTCACTCACAGTTCAGATGCCCGACTTCCAAGGTCGGCAAGGAAGGCAGCATAAGCTGCTCAGTGACAAATGTTAACCAAAGATACCGTGGGAAAAAAGTATCAGAAGCATAAGCTGATCATGTGCGATGTGTATATTTGTGTGAAGAACTGAAGGTTGGTCTGTTGGTCAGTTGTTGGTTGACCAGTCAATTCTCAGGTAAGCAGCTGAAAGAGCAATTACTTCAGACTGCACTATAAACCTGCATGATTTATTCAGAGAAATACACTGTGGTAATCAGCAATCAGATTAAAGATAATCTTAACCCCAATCTTAGCAGGAAAAATATAAACACAAAGCTCCACCTTCTCACTTTTACGTCCCTTTAACTGAATACTGTGAACAGGAAAGCTGAAATAATGACTTGTGTATATTAATGTTGTTTGAGTGACTTATCAGGCTTCCCTTTCTTAAAACGACAAGCCTAATCTGCCGTTGCAGATAAAAAGGCTTTTATGGTATCTTGACCAATCTTGTAGTCACCATCTGATCCATCTGACAGTCACAAAACCACTTGCTCACCTTGACCTACATACTGTAGCTGTAAACTAAGCTGCATGTCGATGGTTTAATGTGATATTACACTGACTTACATTTATTTTCTGTACACTTTTTCCATAGTACCAATTACCCTTACCTTCAACCCCCGTCTTTGCCCTAAAATGGAATTTTTAAATCATGGGAGAGTGACAGGTGTGTGAGGGTGAGCATTTTTAAATCATGTTTATTTTTTAGTGATCATAAAGAACAAATGTTCACACACATTACAGCTATCCTTACATTACTCTCTTACTCAATATAATGTGATTTTTAAATTAAGTGTACTGTGTTTTTTTCCCCAAAAGTGAATATAGAAGGGATGAGATTACTCAAGGGAGTTTAACACACACACATACACCTACTGGGCACATGTCCACGGATTGCACATGCAGACTGCAACACATGGAATGAGCTCAGATTGCACAACATACAATTGCTGCTGAGCACACTTTGCCCTGGGAAAATGTTTGCATATCTCTACACATGGGAGCGGTCTGGAGATACCGTTGATACGGGAGAGTGACAGGTGTGTGAGGGTGAGCATTTTTAAACAGAAGAAGGACTATGAATTTGCAAGCCAGACGCAGTGGGAATAACATCTCGCGCAGGTCATCATAGGGACAAGTATAATTCTCACGTTCTTGTTGATATTTTGCCAGTATTAAAAATTGGACAAATTGTTACTTTAAAAAAAAAAACCTGTACATTTAATAGGAGTTTTACTCATTCTGGCTGATTAGCCCAGTACTACAGTACTGTGCAAAAGTTTTAGGCAGGTGAGGAAAAATGCTGTAAACAAAGAATGCTCTTAAAAATGGAAGTGTTAATCTTTTATTTTCATCAATCAACAAAATACAGTTAATGAACAAAAGAGAAATCTAAACTACATCAATATTTGGTGTGACCATCCTTTGAATTCAAAAGAGCATCTCACTCGATGATGTTGGGATCAGGGCTCTGTAGGGGCCATACCATCACTTCCAGTACTTCTTGTTCTTTTTTATTTTGACGATGGGTTGTATGTTTGGGTCTGTTGTCCTGCTGCAGAATACATTTGGGGCAAATAAACAATCATTAATATTTCTGAAGACATTCTGTTTATAGCATTTTTTCACACCTGCCTAAAACCTTTGCACAGATCACAAATCTTTTTGTCTTGCCAGTTTAAGCCTAGCTCACCTAAATGGTTGGGAATGGAGAGTATAGAAGATAGGGAAGAGGAGAAGTAGGAAAAATAAGTGTGGGGCTATACAGGAGGGTTAGTAAAACCTTAAAACCAGTGTAATGCCAGAAAAACAGTGGAACACATGTTCCTCCTTATTTGTCTAGGGTTGCATATTGTCTAGAACATTTTTTATGATAACAGTTTATGCTAAAACCATAGACTGTAAATAGATGATGGATGTAAAATCTATGACATCACCAATTGATTTTTGGATTCTGTTTTCAAGCATTAAAGTTGTTGAAAAATGTTTTGGGGGTTTTTTGGCCCTAAGAGAGTATTTTTACACACGAGAGTGGATTGTTAAGCTAATGCTAACAAGGTGCACCTGCTAATACAATAAAATAATCCTCTAGTACACATGTCTGAAACTCAAAGCTTGCAGGCCAAATTTGGCCCGCCATGCCGTTTTATGTGTCCTGCGTGAACTTCTCAATGATTATCTTAAAATAAGTTTATCGTTTGCTGCTTAAAAGCACACAGTGATCATAAACTACATTTCCCACAACACATTTCGATTGTTTGAAAGGGAGAGAGACAACATCTAATTTAACTTGATCTGTTATTTAAACATACACATGTGGTATCCACAGAAAAGTCAGAATCTTAGCTAAAAGCTTACAACATAATTTCAATGACCACCAAAAGCTAAAACAGCAAACAGATGTAAACACAAAGCGTGGATCCCACGTACAGGAAATGCCAATCGGGTGCGGAAAACCGACATCTCACAGATTCTGAAACTCCAGATTTCGTCACTCTCCAACCAAAATTCATTGAACGGCAAAACAAGATCACTACGCTACACTTCACTTTTGAAAAAGACTTTTAATGAATTTCCACTTACGTTGGCTGTCTTGCTTCCACCATAAAATTGCACTTCCTTCATAGCTCTCTCTGTGTGCTTCGAAAGACTAGTTTCCCATCAAAAATCCCTAATTCATGCATTAATTGCTTGTTTATTACACACCAGTCTATTGGTGAGTACAATAACAGCTGAAAGCCTAATTTCTACTATCCAGTACAAAAGAAAATTTCAACTTTCACAAATTGCAAAACGAGTTACGTCTCTAATAAAACCTCTGTGAAAAACAGATGTTTGTTTTTCCACTTTCAACTATAGAAATCTGGTTTTTATGACAATTAAAAAGCAATCGCCACAACATTTAAAAAAAAAAAAAAAAAAAAAGGCTTCCTGACACCGACAGAAACAAGAGTTTTGCTGGTCCAGCCTGCTTAAGATCAAAGTGGTCTATATGTGGCTCGCAATATAAAATAAGGTTGACACCCCTGTCCTAGAAGCATCATTTGAGTTTCCATGTTTATGCAGACGACTTCCAGATTTATTTGGAAGTCAGATTTACTCTTCCTTTCTCCGGGAACCAGCTAACAAATATTTCATTCTTTAGCATCTATACTGGTGCATTTTTGCTGTATATGTGTATTACTATGCAACTTCCACAGACTTTACTATATTACTTTGTCAGGGCATTCTTGTAAAATAGACTGTTATTTACAATAAAAGATGAGCTCATACTAATGGGTATGAACAGATATGTTCTCTTAGGCGATAAAAAGTTTCAGGTATATTGATCAAGTGTTTTTTTGTAAGAGACATTAATAGCATGTCACAGTCCCC